TGTTCATCCTCTAGCCTTTAATGTGCAATCATTTTCCCGTAACAAATAACAAAGTTGGCATAAACGAGTCGCTGCGCACTTTAAAAGGTACGTATTTTCGAAGTGAACTACCGGTAGTGACAGTGTCGTAACATACATGATTAACTTACTGTAACTACTACTGTAACTACTGGCGCACCGTAAGTTATTTCCTTTCCTGCCCCAGTCGTTTCTCATGTCCGGTCTTCCATTTGAGTCACTTCGAACAGATGGAAGTAGTTTATATCGGGCGTAGAGTATTTCTTCTATTATACCATATTAATACATTAAAACTAATGTTTTTTTTTTGGTGCTGCCCTTTAAATTTACCGTTTCACAAGTCTGCTGGAAGAAGTCCCATTCAGAATGGCAAGTCATTGATGCTATGTCTAGAAATAAGACAATTGACGAACGGTGCTACATGAAGTTGTTTGTAACTTGCGTGTTGATGATGTACGTTAAGATCCAATCTGACTTGCATGTTCGGCAGCCTTCGAGCGCCGCCTGGCAGAAAAGTACAAGAAATAACGATATAAACACCTAGAACTCAAATGTGTTCCTGGAAAAAGAAACCTACGAAGAAGAATGCCTGTTGATTGGTTGAACTTAGGCAATCGTTGATAGAAGCAAAGGCGAGCGATAGATTGGCTTGTATTATTACAAAGAGCCGTATCTGCATCCGCGTTCAGCGTATGTCGTAATCGAAGTATGTTTATCTCGTAAGCGTATTTTGTGCTATTTACAAAGAATTGAGGGGCTGTCACTCGAACAATGCCCGTTCTATAGGCACCTTTAAATGTCTCTGAAATGAAACAAGTGTTTCGCTAAAAAGAAAACCTATAGACAGCTACTGGCGCTCTGGAAGGACGATATACCAATATGGCCGATTCTGGCAGCGAATCAAGCTCGCGCGTTACAAAATTGCCTTTGGGGTTTTCTATGGAAAGAACAACTTTGATTTTAACACGCATGCCAGATAGACGGCCACAACCGTCACCGAAAGTAGATGCATCATCGTATGTAGCACTGCACCCTCGTAGGCACGCAACACTTAGGACGACATTTAGAACAAGCCTCCGGAATAGAAAGCGTTCGCTCTGATTAGCTGAACGTTTGAATCGCAGTAGTAAACAGATGCCATATATGAAAAATCGCTGCAATAACTAATTAAAAAAAAAAAAAAAAATCTATCGAAAAATTACAAGCTATTTTATTACTCTATGCTCATTTCTATTACGAGTAGTTAGTGGTGCTTGAGCCGGAGTAAATTGTCGCCAGAGCTAGCGTTCGACTAGCCGATAGTAAGCTTACTAACTGCGTCTTGTAAAAGACCTTTTGACATATCGAAAGTAAATAGATCTCTTTCTTAGCTTCATATACCTATTATTAACGTTAGGCATTTTCCGTGCTCTTTTTTTTACCACTTGATGTATTGGATCGGGAGTTCGAACCGTATGTAAGCATTGGCCCAAATAAAACTATGTAGATTCGTCGTGTTCAAGCCCGTGTTTTGCTGCGGGGTGGCCGCGACCCGCGTGTCCGGTCCAAGTAAGCACTGGTCTGAGATTTGAGCTCCAACCGGGAATTGGTCATTTTACACAGATTATAGGGTCCACGCAATATTTGATCTGATCAAAGTGGCTAGATAGAGGTCAGACGCAAACATACTTTTGTATTCTATGACTGCACGCTTTTGTGGTTACATCAGTGAATTGTTACTGCGATCATTTAAATACAACAGTTTGTGAATGACTGGCACGGCATCGTTGCTACTGCCCGCTGACTTGGATAGAGAACGTCGAAACTTAGCGTGAAACTAGAAAATAAACCGCCGCTTTGAAGTCCGAACGCGCAGTTGGTTTGGACAAGCCCAGGATACTTTTGCAAAATATGTTGGACGCTGTCTAACGTACCACGTATAATATAGATAACAGAACGATGCTTAGAGAACGGCTCCGACGACCGTGGATCACGTTTAATAACTTCTATATAAAGACTTCATAGAAAAAGGGATACAAATTTGCAGAGCGCTAATTCCTTCTTAAATTTAAATTAGGGAAAATAGTCCAGTATATGAAATATAGTTTATCAGTACCAGTCCTCGATTCATTTAACGTCACTCGCATATTTTCATCGCATTTATAAGCAATGATCGAAATGTATCGATTTCAATGGAAAAAAGTTTTCCTTTCCGAATTTTTCATAGGATACCCTCATATCAGATTAGTTAAGGAAAGCGTCATGTGGAATATAAGACTTCTTAGAAAATCATAGACGTCTTAGTTGCTAAGACTTTGTTAACACCTTCTTAGTCTAGGTAGTGAATTGATTTAAAACTCAGCACCTAAATAAACTAGGCCAACAATTTAGATAGAATCTGTAATCGATCAATTTGTTCACGTTGCTTTCCTCAGTGGGAAGCTCAGCTTGAAAAAATACGGAAAAATCACGTTAGCCGTCGTTATTTAAAGGCGATCTTTGAACGGACCGTGTTAGTGTGTGTGTATATATACATATACACCTTTCTCGGGATTCGATAAGAAGCTTTATGTGTATGGTCAACGCATAGATCAGCTTTATAGCAATCTACGATGTCCTTTTCGGATTCGCCTTACGCGGCTCGTTGATCATGACTTCCAGTGGCTAGGCGGGACGTAGGGTCTGCTTGTGCCAAGCGACTTGCGAATTTCGGCACGTTCGTAGTATCCCAGTCTGGCGTTTTTAAGAGGGGTGTCCTTTTGGATACTCTTCCATTTACACCGACCATGCCTCGGATACGCCCTCTTCATCATCCTGTAAATTATTTTCAGAATAATTGCTCCGTGATCCGCATGTCCTTGAAGCCACCCTAACTCTTTCCTACCCTAAGTAGAGACTAAACATTTTAGCTGTTTTAAATCATATTCTGGCAGTCAGTAACAGATGAATGTATCACATTTTGTCCTTACACAGTGATCCTAATAGTTTCTGTGTGCGAATTCGAATTCCTAGATTCCCATCTGTGAGTTCTAATCAAACTGATATAGTTCGCCTAGTATTTTCCTTCCTGCCATGTAGAGTCCCTCAAATGCTATACTTATAGATGTAAACTATTGATATTACATCATGTAAACAAGCAATAAAATAGCTCTCAGTTGTACCAGGTATCGAGTAATGTGTTTACCATTTCGTATTACGAAATTACGTATTATGCGAAACGATTATATACGATAGCCGACAATTCATAAATCGTCTCCGACTTTCCGATTACTAAATATGGCTATATACTTAAAATTGTCGAGAAATAGCTTCGTGGCCTATCAAGTGAGCCTGCCTCGCATAACAGCTAGTATCTCGCCTGCCCATAACGCACACATTCTGTCACAATTCTTCAACGCCTATAATGGGTCGCTACATTTCTATGGCTGTATACAGTAAACAATGTTAAATGATTGCTCGTAAATGAAGATGATGTTCATTAACGCACATTGTTCCGTAGGTTAGTTTATCTGTGATTAAAATATGTACATAGACAAAACGACCTCTTCACTAATTTCGGGGCAGCTGATTTTGTCTATATGTCCATCTGTAATCGCAACGAACGATATATTACTAGATAAAGGAGCAGTCTGGAGAAGTTACGCGATCTATCACGAGAAGATGACAATTTTATTTGGCATTTTTCTCTTCATTTGCTCCGCTGTATGTTTGCGCGAACTCCGACCCCAGTTTTCTTCTGTAGCTCGAGCTCAATCAAATGCACATACATAGGCCAAAGGCACACACGTTGCGAAGCCGTTCACACGAGATCACACAAAAGGTCATATTTGAAAAGATCACGATATTTCATTTCGAACGAATTCAAATAGCTCGGGTCATTGACAATTCCAATGCGTGATAGTTGCATTGATCATTGTAGTTAATTCGCTATGTGATAAAGTCAAATGATTGATAGTCATTAGCTAGAAAATGGATCGATGAAGATTGTTAGCTGGTCAAAAATGAATGGGCAAAGCCTCAATCACTCGTTGGTCTGACCTCAGCTATGTTTACATCTGCTAAGTGGCGGCATGAAGACCAATCTGGTACGGTTGACTCTAAGTAGAGAAACGATTTTGTCAACTTCGGCCAGTTGTTTTAGTCGAGTATCGGTAGTAGTTGTTGTCGGTTTAATGGCGCTTGATAAGTTTATGAAAGTACGGTCCAGAAGAATCTTGTCATCATCATGGACGATCTTGATTTTGTAGTGCCAACCTGCCGTTTAAAGCTAGATTTAGAAAGATGACGCTGTTACATTCGTAACTCATTCAGTTTATAGATCTCTCAAAACGTGACCCGTAGTAGGCGTTGGGTTGCCGGAACTAGGACGTTGGTTTTCTTAATGAAACGACTTATCGCAACGTCATGCATATTCGCCTATTCTATTGCCTATTGCTGCTCATACCACTGCGAGCTCCCAATAGGACTGAATCAGCTTCATATAAGACTGCCCGTTAAAGCCAGCTCGACATGCGTCTCGTCCTGACTATGGGAAGATTTAACGCGATTGCTTAACCTATATGACGTCACGTGCCTTCTCACCAGACGCGTAAACAAGACCCTCGAAAACCTTTTTTTATATTAGCTATTTTTTATAGCTATTTTTTAAATATATATATATATATATATTTTTTTTTTTTAAACTCCCATTAAAATAAAACTGATTGTGCCGTACTGTAGTTCGGCTAACTGTGTTTTCCTAGCTCCGATCAGACTAGGGTCGATTCTGAAAGCCTGCATCGAATAAATTACGTTTATAGATAACATCAGCTATACATAGATATGAAAATCTTCACAGACGCTAACACCTCAATGTTGGCTAGGGTGTACAACAGTTCAATCCAAGGGCTTTCACTGGCAACGAATTGGTTAACGTTTATTTGATACTGCTAAATATAGAACTGCAACTTCTTAAAGGGAAACCTTTCCCAGATTTATTGACCTATGAGCAGGATAATGTGACAGGAACATGGTTTTATTTTTTAGGGCGCAGAAGAGGAGCGGCCCAGTTTAGCCGCCCTTTGCCAGGTGTTGTTTCGTCCCTCCCCGGGTACAGCAGTGCGCAGTTTTTCGCCGTCGAATCCCCATCTAAGTCGCATACAGAAAACAAAAGCGATTATTATCTGTACCTTTTAAAAGAATACTTTGCTTTGTCACATTTATGTATTCTACATCACTATTATTTATTAGTTATACATACTTTAATACATAATTTACCAACCGATGTTATTTATTCTCTAATAGGCAACGTCTTACGTTGCGATACAATTGTTTCATGCTCAGTAGTTATTAAGACCTCGATTGGGAACGAGTGAGCGATCGATCGATGCACGAAGAACGTTCCGGCATCAATATACTTCTCGATCTTCAGTAATCGCGTGATACTGACAAACCTGTACAAAAAACCAAGAATCGGATAAAGGCATACGACGCTATTACTTTATTTGCTCGTAATGACTAGACTAGATGAGACACATTTTCTTAACAATTTCAGTCTATTAATAATAGTTGTTTCTCATGTATAAATGCTACAAAATTCGAAGCTTGCCGACCTGTGATAAAGCCTTAAGCTGTGATAAAGATTGTCTCAAATTGTTAACCTGAGAAATTTGTTTTTCCATTATGTGCTATCGAACTTTCATTAAACGCTGTATTGCAAAATCGATGCGTCATAAGTGCTCACCGAATGATCTCGGCACGTAGAAATTAGAGCGATACAACAGAGATAATGCCCTCTAAGGGTACCTCATACATTGCCATGGATGGCCGGAAACTGACTGTATGATCAGGCACATGGTGGCCGACGGCCTGCTTTTCATGCAAATCGAACTTGTTTGTGCTGCATTTCTTTTTGAGAACTCTACAATAAAACATACATTCTGTAAATTTTACTGGCTTTAAACGTTTGTATGTTCCCAAGTTGTAGTGTAACATAGCTCTTCCGGATAGAGCTGTGGGAAAGGAATTATTATTGGTCTAGGTCATTTGCTATATGGGCCAACCTAAACTGGTTCATTCCATCTACCGGCTAAGGTAACGTAACTGTTACTACATCTTCGGTCGCGCGTCGAGAGGTACAACCATCGTACAAAAGCATAACAACGTTCAGGTGTGCAAATTCTGCGCCTAAAATACAAGGTACCTAAATAGATACTTCTTTCCTCGTAGCAACCTAACTGTTTGTTTGTTTGTTTGTTTGTCTGTTTTAACAGCACAAGGAACCATTGCCGAAATTAACGCTAATGGTCAATCAATTTGAAAATATAATTTTCCTTTGAAAAATATGCTACCGAATTCGGAGACGTCTTACGTACTATAGAGATGTGTTAAAGCTATTTTGCCTAAGTACCCTTACTTCAAGCTTGGAATAATTCTACGATGCATACAATAGTGTACTGACCGTGTCGTTTCAGAGGGGACGAAGACATTTACAGTTATATTCATTCCAGGTACACTATACGAGTGTATTTTCTACTCTATGAAATTAACTTTCACATCTACATATTATCCGAGCTAGGTCGTGGGTCAGTGGAGGAATAAATGAATAAAGTTTCCCTCGTCTATTCAATTTACCATCGAGGTAATCGTTAGCGACTGGCGCTGGTTCGTTTCGGTCAGTGCTGAGTACTTTGCTAGAACGAACTGACGGATCTTCGAATAATTCTAAATAGTTCGCAGTTGCACCTCTGCCATGTTCACACCAGGTTGGCCATTGACTTGGCTATTTCAAATACACTTACTCCATTCTGTCAAATAGATATTTGCACAGCATTGATAGCCTCGTTAATCTTTTGTACGCCCATTTACCTAGCTGTTTTCTGAGCTGATACCTCTCCGTCGTAACAAGAACTACGAAACAATTACCAGGTCAGCGTCTCCCTGATGTAATAGCTAAACCTTGCTCACCGCGGTTATATTACGATGACTGGAGTTAATATTGATCATTTTTATCTGGTGGTAGAGTATACGAAGCGGTCGTTTCAATAATAAGTCTATACTGTCGTTTAACTCACCCTCTTCTTGCCGCACTTTGACGAGGATATCTACTTTCTACCGTTCGGTGTATTGTCAGACGATCAGAATGTTCGACTTTACCTAAAGGTAATTTTAATTCTTATCACAAATACATTTGTTTTGACGTGTCTTGGACACGAATTTTGGCCCTTTCTGTTGGCAGCACGACAGACTAGAATTTAATGTGATTCACACTTATTGAGTTTCTAATCATTGCATTAGATTCAATTTTAAGTAAATAAAAAAGTACAGTTTAGTTATATTTTACTCACCGCAGATGTTATAGAATTACTTTCATAAATCAGGATAGGCTGTCGACAGAGGAAATTCAATAGCGAATCCCGCACTATTTTAATATGTCCTTACAAAGCAGTACTTAGAAAATTTCGCCGTCGTTAGAAAGCAGATTTTTCCATCTATACGGCCCGTCTGATTCACCCCGTACTCTTTAACATAACTCATTAAAGCATAATTATATTACATGAACAAATTAAAATGTCAACTATAACATTTTAATAAGAGGAAAACTAGTTTTTTTTTTACATTTTTATACATATTAATATTGCTAAAGTGCCGTATGTTCTCTAAACTATCGAAATTAGAGATCAGCTTGGCTTGAACACGTCTAAGATGTCAAACGCTACACGAGCTTGAACAGCCAATGGATTGAATGTTGTTCATTGGGCTTAGGGTGATTCACATACGAGTCAAGTCTCAATGTTTAATCACGATTACGATGTCACTCATCGGTAAGCCAGATCAATTTATAGGTCTATCTCTCTCTATGAAAAGCAAATATATTCAAGGATCTGTATTTAGCACCACAATAACGTCTAACTCTCTCGGGGATTTTGTCTTTTATTAAATCCAAGGCTCACAGTGTTCATCGGAGGCTCGACAGCGAACGGGGAGGAACTGCTATTCTTTTCGCGAGTACTGTTATATTCACGGCGGCATTTTACTTCGGTATTTTCGGTTTTTTCTTTTTGTCTTCTATGTCTATAGGTGTGTAGCGATCGTCGTCAGCTTCATCTTGAATTAATTTGTACATTTTTGGGGCATTTTCGTTCGCAAAGAATAGGTGCCGCATGTTTTTCTCCAGTGTCTTGAAACTCGGTCTGATCTTTGGCCAGCTTCTGCAAACAAGAAACCATATCAAGTTTGCCATATTTATATTAAGCAATCCAGAATGACGGCGGTGGCAATTATGGCGATTAACACGTATCGATACCGTCACCAGATACATATAATCAAACCCATAAGAGCACGGAAGGGTATTTGCCTCAAGCAGGAACTTGAGTATGACCTGCAATCCAAGCCTATCTCTGCGGAATCGGAAAAGCAATTGGCCTATTACGCCCAGATCAAACTTAGAATATACCTAACCTAGGCTAACATAAACGGCGCTCATTAATAGCAATACCTACGATAACTTCCTTAAAATTTGCCTACTTCATTTGTGCCTTTTTAAATGAAATTAAATCACCGCATGAGGATAAAGAAAGCATACATTTATTTGAACTGATTTTATGTTTTGTTGAACTACAGAGCTGTTTATTATCATAGGGACCTTACAGTCATAGACTAGATTTAAGACATTTTCTTATGTCGATACGCTCCATGGCGTTCTTCACCATTATAAGCTAAAAAGAACACGGTGCTTTCTTTATTTGTTAGAACAGAAGGGGAAAGTAAGTCGTACCTCTGCTATAAACAAGTAAATTTTCCGTTTAAAACGAGTCAATTCACAGTTGAGATTATCCATGCTACTGTTAATGTCGTAAAAACTCTCCAACTGTCATACTGTTTCCAGAATTGTTCTCAATTACGTATACATAAGCTGCCTTCGGCGCTGTGGAATCGGATATCTGTGCTCGCCATTTTGATCTTTGGCAATTTTGACCATTTCGTCTGTTTTTTTTTTGCGCGAGAAAAGCACCCGCCTACATCTGAGCCAAACAACAGAATACTTCCTGCTTTACTACGCTCAAATCATGATTGTCATACTCTTCGGAAGCTCAATAGCCTTCGTAACGGCTCTTCGCTCCACTGTGAAGTACACGAAGCGAACCATAATTTTTGTTTACCATAAATAAATGAACGACGGCCCTGTTTATCCTTTGCGAAGCAATATAAATGAATTAACGCTATCTTCCCGCTTGCTAATTCTGTAAACGTGGGCCAAATTGTACGAAGCGAAGGCTTTAAAAACAAACAAGTGTCGAAAGTAGTGTTATAACATTGCAGACATACCCATAAAAGCTAGTAGCAATGGCTACAGATTTCAATATTGTACGTCGACCTACTCAATAGAGATAACTATTTTTCGGAGGAAAATTTGATTATCATCAAAACGAGAGATTAGCCAACCGTGTCCAGTCGCATGCTTCGAATAACCTCATTCTACGGTACCTGGTACAACTTTTAAATATTCTGTAGAGCGACTTGGTAAACCCGTGGGGTCGTCTTGCTTTATTGCTTGCTTCCCAAATTTCTTCCGAAGATGCCCCGCTCGCTAATAGAAATACCTTTCATCACAAAGCAAATACAACATATCGCAGTATCCCATTTAGATTGCCGCAATTCAGGGTGACATACAAAGAGCTAGCTTCAGGTGTGTCAATAATTTTTGAAGTTTTTCTAAAGTTCAGGCTGTCAGTCTCTGCTTAAAATAGTTTCCTTATATTCTGATTGGTATGCACTGGAAAGATCTTACTGATTTGTAGTGACCAAAGTTGGTGATGATCGCTTGATGACCTCATGTTTTTTGGCGTTCTGTTTGACAGCGTGAAATGCCACTATTATCATTGGCAAGCTCAAATGTTGCTAGGGCGTCACTTTGTGTCTAGCGGCCCGATTAGATATCAACGATTACGGCAGTTGCCAACCGACCTCAGATACGATAATTCAGCTCGGGTGTATACTAACGTTCCATAGTATATAGCCGAAACGCTTGACATCCGCCTTGATTTTCGAATCGACCTTTGATTTGTTCGACGTAGACCAATCTCTACAAAAGGAATCAAATTAGAAAAATCAACGTTTTAAGTGTGCTCTTTCTCATTAAATGTTATTCCAAATATTTGTTCACGTTTATCACACGAAGATCCTAGTACACGAAGATCGGCGTAACAAGCAGACACAAGCGATACACCACAGCAGTCGACGAACTTCTACGATGTACGAATACATGAAGAAGTTCTATAGACAACAATTTGTAGTAACGAACCGTCGAAAATTAACTATCAAACCCATTTATTTTGTGCCTGCATAATCGCTTTACGTGTCAAAAAAGGCCCGATCATAATCATTTTAATTGTTAATGCAAAGGGCAGCGTTAAGGCACATGCGAACGATGACGACGACGACGACCACGACGACGACAGGAAAAATCGCCGCACGGCCTCATAACCCGTCCGACACGGCGGATGTGGTTACTTTTCATGTAATCAGTTAATAGCTTGCGGTGCCTTGCCGCCGGGGCAACAGATAAAGCCATCATGCGAAGCTCGACATACACCTAATGGGCTAAACCTCGTAGCGGATATGGTGCAATCCCGTTCAAACTATAATAAACTGTGATCATGAAACATGTGGTATACATGGTATGGCCGAAATCGGCGAGTTTAACAATCAGAAAAGGTTCTTCGCCTCCGAGAAGAACGTTTCTTAGGTGAAGATCACAATGGGCCGTTCCAGAATTTTCCAGATATCGTAGTCCACGACACACCTAGACAAAAACGTTGGCAAAGTTCATTTTGACGGTTAGTAAGATATTGCCATGCCGTACGGTTCACTGGAAACGAAAGCATGCGTTCGTCGTCGAAAACCGGCAACAACCTATGATTACCTGTGATCAATATGGATTTTCAAATACTAGAATCTTTATAACTTCGTGTGATATTTTCTCTACATTCTGTATAGCTGCTTATTTTTTAAACGCCTATACATAGATCTATAGATTACCCCGTTAAGTGAAGGTCGGTTTAATGAAAGTTAGCACAGACAGTAATGATTTCGGTCCCTAACGATAGCGAAGGCTTTGTCTGAGTACGTTTTGGGACGCTGTGCCCTAATAGATACTTTTAACTAAAATAAGGCCATAAATTTGCGATTTCTCAATGGCCTTTAACAAAGTAGACTGCACGTCCATAATAATCAAAGCATAGGACGGTCCCTTCAGATGTTTCAGATCGCGTCCTTCATGTTTTCGTTAGATGCCTAATAAATGAAAATTGTTCCACTTTGCACCAGCAGCGTTGAATTGGAGCGTAAAAAAAATTAAGTAGGTTATGACTAAACTAAAGTAAAGTAAAGCAAGATCTTTACATATCTAAGCTTTTATTACGACACCCAGTAACTATCCATATAGCACAGCATACACACACGTAACTAGTAGATAGCAGCATCGACTGATTGTCTGTGCGTGAACCATCAATATGAAGCACAAACCTGGCAACGGTCTACAACGAGAAAATCTAACCAGACTACCTGGTAGCATATATTGATAAGACAGAATTCAGTCAGCGTGGGCCCTTTTTGGCTGACGTATTCCTTCGCCGGTCCGTGACGCATGTATTCTGTCACAACTAGTATTGGCTGTTTCGAGCAGTGTCCAAAGAAGGTAACGATATTTTTATGGTTGAGTTTTCTGTAAAGTAGGCAGGTAAAACTGGTACATTTTACGATTTCAGGTCAAGTTTTTGTATTGGACAAAAACATATATCATGCGATGCTAGGTTCACACATCACTTACTTACGTGTCAGCGCATGCTTTTCGGGAAACATAGGTCTAAATGACCTGAGTGAGTTTCAATTGGCCTTTGGCTGTCTGAAGCAATTAATCATTTTTATCCAATTAGTTCGAGCAGCTCTCTGAAGCAGTGAAATCTCTATCTAGCGAATCTAGTATATGTGGGTTAGCGAATATATAGCTAGAAATAGTAGCAGAATCTTAATTTTTTCACCTATATCTTGTATGCGTTGACCACATCTCGGAAAATGACTCACTTAATAATGTTCACCTCATGGATGAGGTGAGAATCGAACTCAGGGTAATTACTTTCCTTCACAGCAACTTCGTACACTCCCCAGAGGGCTCGGTTCACAGTCGCGCAGCCTCCTCTTCCTAAACGCTCTTGCTTTTCTAGATCAAAGTGGTCGATCTCCCAGTCAACTAAAAATCAGAGTTTATACACAGCTACGAGACAAGGCATTGCGATTAAATGAATTGAAATAATGATTGACGGATGACATGATCTAAGGAACTTCTATCGTTCACTGCTTTCAAATGTTGCTTGACATGTGACTGTGTCGCGTACGTTTCAGAAGCCGCATTGCCAGCGACGGCAGCCAGGAACCACCAAAAAGAAGAAATATGTTGCCAGTAAAGATTATTATAAATTAAAAAAGTCCACAGTCAGCCAATGCCCTGTAATCGAATCTGCAGCGGTAACAATATCAGCTAAAGAAATTTACCAACTCCAGCAGCTTGTCCAAGTGGTGTAGATATAAAGTCTCCGTGGTCCCTATAATAGCTGATTAAATCTTTGAAGCTTCGAAACGGCTGTACATCTTCCAGAAAAATTTCTCCATTACTATTAAGGTTTATGTCGTAGTGGCGTACGGGTGGTTCAGCGCTGCGTAGGAGACAAACACAAATCCAGCTTACCGATATCGTTTGCTCAGAAATAAATACAGAATTTTATACAAAGCAGTAGTACTGTGTATTGTATGAAAATATACTAAGCTACATTTCAAATAACCACGTCATACACTGGGCAGGTCATCGTCATTTTCCTGGTTCTGGTGGTCAAGCGTAACTTTTGTTATCGAAACCTATTTCCAACGTTAATCAAGTTATTTTTGCGCCTTTTTGGTTTTTTTTTTTTCGATCATCAAACAAATCGCCGTCATCGACATCGACAGACACGTGATTATATAAGTTAGCCACAGAACTTCAGCCCAGCTGAATGAATTACAAATAAAACCACTGTTTCTGCTGGTAAAAGACAGGATACAATGATGTTCTATTATTTCTTATCTACTGCGTCAGCTAGTTAAAGAGTTCAAAAGCTACGCTGGGGGCAGCACGCAAACTAACCTTCAGTGTGATTTGAGTAGTGCGTCTAAGCCTATTCTCGTTGGACGACTCTCGTTGGAGTACGCGGTCAGCTGAGTTAAAAACCCAGATAAATCGGAGAAATTTATCTTTACAGCTAAAAACTGGACGAGAGCGTTCATGGTTGTGACACTGGCGCCCTACGCATCCCGCCAACCTAGCGGTGCCTGAATGCATTTGAAAATTTCGAGTAAATAAAGACCTACTGCGTATGTGTTTTTCGGAATTTTAAACTGAAGACCTATACACGGTGGATATTAATCTACGAAGGGTGTTTAGAACGTTCTGAATTACTAATAAGTGCTTTTACATCCGAAATTGTTGTCAGACATTACAGAAAATAGAACGTTAAGCTCTAATGATGTGCCATCCGAATTACTGCTTTCTGTTACAGCTACCAGATATCCAGTTCCATAGTAAGCCGCTGCTAATCGACACCGACATAAATATTGTTAATATATGGCCCTTACATATATATTTGATTTGATAGGCACAATTTAAAGAAGCTTCCAGCGAAGTGAAATCAATTCTCCATATTTTTTTTTTTTTTAACAAAAATTAAGGGCATCGCAGAAAAGCTGCCGAAACGGGGGGGGGGGGGGTGGAAACCGTGCAGCGTGCTTCATGAATATAGTTTCCTCTTGGATTTATCACAGCCTCTTTAGATCTACAAGGTACCCCAGAGTTATACGATACTCTAGTGCAAATCTGGATAAGTAAAACCTGATAAATAGAATAAGATGACCTATCTAAAACTGACGGATGACAGTGAGTTGCGCTAAGTATTATTATGACAGGTTCTGCAGATTTTAGATAAACAATGCAGCTCCTACAGATTTTTAAAACGAATTGTTAGCAATCGCTATGAGAGGTGAGTTGCTATCTCTAATACGACGGTTGGCTACCTTTTCTATCTCGTCTGATGTTTCAAAAGCAAGTAACCTGTTAAGTTGTTTAGCTTATTCGTTGAAGTTGAAATAAATTTACAAATCTATTTCTTCAGCTTAAGTAACGAAGTTAAAAAAAAAAAGCCGAATAAATATATTAACGTAAGTTAGGAAACACTTATTTTGCTTACTTTCCAGTGTGTAACGATATAACCAAAGTCCCATCTTTAGGTGCACAAAAAAGAAACGCTCCAATACGATCCAGCTTTATCAGATGTTCTTCGGCTCTTTCCCGAGAAATGTAGCCAGCGAAAGCATCACAACGGGTCATTTCTCGTCGTCGATCCGCCATCTAGACAATAGAGAACATGTTGGTTTTCGTTGCGAATAGATAACCAGTCCTGCAGCGTTTGGTAACATAAAACTGATTTTGTTTCGTTCAATTACGTAATTATCGTTTTCTCAGATTAGCACGCAAAGTAGATAAGTATGGTACTTCCCAACTGTAATATAAGTTACTGCGTCACCTAATTACGCTGAAACAACCTAACAAGGAATTGTGAACAGTTAAAATATACCACTTTGCTTCAGACCCAGTCGGATACGGCTCCAGGGTTCGAGGAGTAGCCCATTTTTGAGTTGGGTTACCTATTGGTGCTACAACCAGTGCTTAAAATAACGATCATTGACCATAGATACGTTTCATATCAAAAACAAAAGTAATTAGTGTTTTTGAAAATACCGGTTACTTCTTTATCTACTGAAAGGGTATTCTATCTCCATTCTAGTGGGGCATGTTGACATTGTTGTGTGCATCTATCTGAAGACGATTAACTCTATGGTCATTAGACCTAGGGTGTGATGTTTTTTTTTTTACCATAAAGCCGAACGAAAAATCTCGTCCATAAAAACTCGTTTGAACCTTGGTTAGTTAAAGTACCTTTGGATCTTTTCCTGCTTGGAATACCTGATGTCTTCTGTCTAAAATAGGTGTCACTCGTATTTGACAGTATGAAGCATTTGTTGTGGTTAATGATCATAACTAACAGACAGCCTAGCCCACAATTGGTCTTCTTAACAGTCATTTAGTTGTGTCCACAGCAAAAGTTATTTTATAATTTGTGTCTGGTGGTACTAAATAAGAGAGTTGGGGGATGCCTTATAGAACCTCTAAACAAACTATAAATAGGTTTAGGGGTTCTATAGGGTTTCCAAGCAGTTTCAATTAATAATGAAAGGTTTCCATTATTTTAATTGTTTCTGCTAGTTACTTTGAAGGAACTAACTGAAATGGCTACTTAGAAAAGGGCAGACTCAGTTCCGGAATCAAGGCCATATTTTTTGCACAGTCACACGCTTTCCTAGATGTATCCGTCAATTCATTTTTTCACGCGTTTCTACCTTTAACAGAAAAATAACATACAAATGTTTTTTGGCCTTACGGGGAAAAATATATATATATGACATTTTCAAACACCCTGTACACCTAGCGTTCGACTTGCCACTACGAATATAAGTGACGGTAAGCGGAATCGACTGATTTATAGTAGTTATATATTCACTGCTATCATTACATAACTACTAATGCGAGGCGTCCTTAGATTGCCGGATCTCACAACATAAAACTACGTATTTGGTGACATGGTGTTCCAACAGGGTACAGGTGAACTTGGATCGCAGCGTATGTTACAGAGCAGCTAACGTAACAGCGTCTGTTTTATCAACTGCAGGAACAAGCACTATACTCGACCTTTAGGTGTTTCTAAAATTAGTCGTACGTCTACTTGTTTATGGACCACATCTGGCAACTGGTTCACTGCTAGTAGCGACTTGGAAGAAAGTCGAAAAAGATGGGTGTCAGTCTGACGCGCACTCCGGACATCTCCGTATCGAGAAGGCAAATGTGTCCATAGAATGTGGTCACGGAACACGGCCGATACATCAGCGGATGCATCAGCAGGTGCACCGATCACAGCTGGTGAGTTTAACTACAGCAGTGTAATCGATAGATTGTTTACTACCTCGCAGAGGGCAAAGAAATCTCACTACGAGTGAGGCCTTCTTGTTGTGCATTAACAAACAACTGTCCGATCAATTTCCCTAAGCCGATTGCGCCTCAAGTGAAATGCTGGCATCCGTCAAGTTTTCTACTGTTCTAACCGTCTCTAGCTGTAACGTTCTTTGCCAGGATTTTCAGCGCAGAACCGTTCAACTGAACATCGCTTTCTGAGACAAGCGCATATTCGAGAAGCTCTCGTTGCAGTTCGCTTGACATTTGAGAAGGAGAAGATGAAAGCATTAATATAGTTAGAATTCAACAGGACCATTCAGGTTTCAGCGGTTCGTCCTATTCTGTTGACACAAATCGCTTCCGACTTTTCAGGCTTTAGCAAAAAACTCTTAACAGCCCTCGGTCCTGTGTTATAGTACGGATGTTATTCGCCTATTGTTGATGGACTACCGTTTAGCTGTGCATTTACCACGTACCTCAACAAAAGACAGCCGTCTAACTGCATCCGATAACTGTCGATTTACACAAAATAATCAAATCTTAAAAATAGAGAAATAACATTTATTCATTTAAGTACTGTTTTGGTTTAGGTACGACCTGGCTGATTTGAACCTAATGACTTCTAAATTGAAGTCGCAGGTGCGGTACCATTTCACCTGATCGTAGACACCCCCAGATAGTCTGAACCTCGTACCGTATTACGGAAGTAAACACCGGGCGTGCGGTGACACATTTTCCTTATGTAGACTCTGTACAGTGTCAGCAACGCTAAACCGGCTGTATCCAACGTAGAACAAGCCCCTTACTTGCTCTAATTTGACGTTTTAGGCGAACTTGAGAGATTCACGGCTAGTTTACAAAAACGACCTCGTTTACTACTCTACCCGACAGGCAGGTGGACGTATTTTTACGGTAATGCGCAGTATCGGTGCTCGAAGGAGGGATGCCACTACGTCCCTACTCGTTGTAGCAACTCAAAGGATTCGAAATAGTTCAACCCACTAAGACAGCACACGCCATAATATTGAGACAAGAGGTACTCTATAGTGTTGTCTACAGCTCATAAAAACCGCCTAAAAGGTTGACATTTGTCCGCGTTTGGGTAAAGGTCAAAATCCACCTATAATTCGATCATCAATTTTAATAACATTCGAATCATTCCTAATTACCGTCATGATTAAGCAATCGAAAAAACTTATACTTAACACAATGTTTTAAGTCGTAACAAATTTAACAAAGGAGAACCCCGCCCTTGTATCGCAATTATGCCTTGATCCACAATGAATATGAGGTTTACTTTTTTGGGACTTGCTTTTTGTTCAGATAATATTAACTGCGGGGCTAATTTGCCGGTTGTAGGCAAGATTGATACAAAATTGTTCAGCTACCTGCTGGATTCTGTAAATTCCAGCTGTTGTTTTTTCGACATATGTCCTCATCATATACAATGGAAAAGCTAATCAACTTGGCATATCAATGTCCACCGTACGATAAACAGGTCTTTCTAATACCATTGAAGTACCGCACGCCAATCCTAGTCGTCACTGTCGAAATGTAGTAAACCACATGACTTTTTAGCTAAAATATTAATAAAATAAACAGCTGAAAATAAGTATTTTTCGTGTTCTACTGCTGCGGATAGCTGCCTTCCAGGAATAAGCGAAGTGTGTATGTGTCCGGATTTAAAGCTAGTCCACCACATGTTCTTGAATGGGAGCGATGGTTAACAACTGATAGGTTTAAACGAGGACTAGGAACTGTTGGGGAAGTTCTTAAGTTTTGTCAATTTTTTGCGTTTTCAAATAATGTAAATCACACAATGCAAGTCAGATCTTTGAGAAAGGTGACCACTGTAGCCAGGAAAAGGTTGAGTGGGTGAAAGCTTCAAAAATATACTTTGATGGCAAAGGACTCACACGTTGTAGCCTGTCGTTTGCTTTCTCCTGCTGTGTTTGCTCCATCAAGCGACGATTTTGGTTGATACGACGGTTTACGTTTCGTAATCAGAACAAGATAATTTGGCTGCTAATAGAGAACATTAAGCGGAGAGACATTTAGTCTACGAGTTTAGAACTGGTTTTCCCATAAACAACACGTCATGGTCAGCTCATTGGGGAAAGGGTCATATTTTCTAGGAATAAAAAAGCGGTTAGAGTTTGCTTCAGCTATCAATGTGATCTGCACAAGAAACCCAGTTTATTTGAGAATTTGAGGGCAATACAGAGTGACCCCGTAACGTTAAGGGCCATTGTAAGATAGAGAAAAATCGTATTCCTGCAGAGTCATGTGAAGCCTTGGTTACGGTGCTAACTATCGTTGGACTATGAGCCCAATTCAGGTAGTGGTCGGCTTATTCCCTGATTGTACAATGTACTAATCCTTTTTGACTAGCCAACGCGCTAATATAGTGCCAATATGACCAAACACAAATTCGCGTCAACGTAAGGGCAGTTTACCACATAAAAAATTCAACAACAACAACAACAACAAATCGACCAACAAAAAAGGCGCCTTATTTTGAATACCAAAAAACTATTCGATTAAATTCAGGGATTGGAAGATGTATACATCGGGCGTATTCGTCTGATTCGGAGCGCGGTTTCTATAGGTGGCCACGTCATAAGCAAACGCCAAATAATACAGGACGCTACTGCAGAGACGTTTATAAATTGTTACTTTTAAACAAATTCACGTTCCGCGTTTCTGTCAAGCAGACGCCTGTTGTCTGGCATCCTAGACCTTTTCGGAAAAAAATGTATCTCTTTGGCAATGACGAAGCTGCTAGAAGCCAGCCGTCCAAAGCAATCATAACGGAAGTACTAGTGCTCCAAACGACTTTAAATAGTAACGGCATTTGTTGCAGTGAATATGGTGCAGGAGTACTGAGAAGGAATGCCATATATGTGTATGTAAACGGCTGATGCACGTGCTACACCTACGCCGCTAGGTGTCATCTGGCATATCATGCTGTGACAATTTCCAAATAAAACGATTCGGTATTGCGCAGCCTTTGAAACGTGCCCTTTACCGATGTAGGGACAACGGAATATTAAACACACGAGTATAGTGGCAGCTTTAAGGCATGTTGGCGTAATTTGATAAAAAAACTGCCCTACATTCCTAAATCAAGCTGAGATAATATCGTTACGGTTACGCTATAATAATACATCATTCTTTGTGGTGCCGTCACGAATTTTCGGAAGAGGTTGGTTGTAGATAGACAAGATGTAACGACAATTAAGGCCGAAAAGGTCTAACATAGATTTCTATGTATCGCATTTTAATACGTACTGACCATTGCCCAGTGTCCGCTTACGTCGATCTGTCGTAACTTCATCCAGCTAAAGCAGTGAGAAGCACTGAAACATAACTTTAGGATCATGGCTACACATTAACGAATGCAATTTTTATAGCACTTTGGCATAGGGAACCTCTATCCTGCCTCTTAATGAAGGACAGTGATACGGCGAGCGACAGAAAAGGTCAACAATATTGAACTGATTCTTATGCTATTGGAAACGCCTTCTGGCTTGCCTACAGATCCTTATTCAGGCCATTGTGTCCTAAAGGGTTCTTTACACGAACTCCAGCTGCTAATCACAGTATATCCGAACGGCGTCGCTGCAGATAGGGTGACATTGACACTAAAATATGTCGCTGTTAGATTTATCAGTACGTAGGCAAACGTCGACGGCAGAACGAACGAACTTCTGCTGTGAACTATATGCGGAATCTCCGTGCTGCTGTCGTAACACATATGAGCTTCGATAGGCACATTTCCAATATTGACCTATCAGCCAATAATCTGTGGAACATCATTTCAATGCTTTATCACTGTATGTCCTGATTTGTACGTTCAGCTGCACTCAAACCCAGTTCCTCCAATCTCTATCTGTACTTAACTCTGGCTATCCAGTTGAAACCAATTAATCGCGTGAAGCAAAGACCTAAGCGAAAGCGAATCCGACGAGTGATAGCCAATGGCCATGAGGGAAATGATAGTGGGTACATTGTACATCTGTGACGAGAACCTGGGTAGGAAGCGGCGTTTGTGGTCATGTCAGTTAAACTCTTCCGCTATAAACAATGGCTCCGAGCTTAATCAACACTAACTTTTCTGATATAGTAGTAAATTAACTTGGCTTTTATTTAACGCGACAGTTTCAAAGATACACGTACGCATAGAAGTAAGCGCTCAAGTTCATATATTTTCCGCTGTAATTTCTAACAGAACGAAAAAGTATCTATTTTGTTTATCGGTTTGAACTAAATGCAGAAGGGTCGCAACACGATTTGTCTGAATGACGCCGAACACCAGTGGTTAAAAATATTCCACCTATTAGTCGCTGTATAATGCATAGTAAACCGTACAATGAAGACAACTTAGTGAAATAAGACATTGTTATTTTTGCGACCCACGATGAATCGCCAACAAAGCAGCGTACTGGCTAGTACGTTTTTCAGGTTCAGCTCCGCAACTTGCCTATCCGTTCGTTCCGGGATCCGAGGATGGTGTATCATATATGATTTACGCTGAATCATCTTTCACCTAGAACGTAAGGAAAAATTGTGATATGGATAGATGTTATATTAGAAATTAACTCAGCTGCAAATAAGGCAGTCATCAACAAATGGCGGAACGTGAGTTATTACCGAAGAAATCTGTCCACTGAAATTCGTAGGTACAAAAAAATTAGATTCATATCTACAGCCTTTATATCTCCCTATAATTTCGACCGCCTGTATTTACACAACGCATATAGTTGCAGGAAACGAATATTAGCTATAGTTCAAATGATGAAAAAAATTTGATTTGTGGTACACGTAGCTATATCAAACTTAATTTACTATGGCTAGGTTGGAAGCCGCTTCTCTAGGAAACGTCGCTAGACAGACAAACGTTGAGCTTAGCGGGCAGCTGAATCTACATGGTTCTCTATATAATATAGTGCAATATCTATCTTCTCATGTAAATTAAGCGCCTATATCGTAGGCGAGGATACTCTGCGTATGTGTGTGCGTACAGGTTCGAACTGTCAAAAGAAGCTTGCCAAAATAAGAATTAGCGCTACGAGCATATATATCTTCTCTGGGGAGCTATTTTCGCGTATAAACTAATCATTACGGGTAGCCAAAGGGCTCATCAACTTTAAGATCCATCAAGATAACAAAAAACCTATCTAGAAACATACATATCGAAGCGGTCATATCTTCATCATTATTGCTAGCACTAATCTCCCTACCCAAAACACCACCGTCGAGGTAGTTAGTGCATTTTTTAAGGGTTCAACATCGTAAAACTTGGGTCGATCACTCCAGACTAATCGTCGAGGCTTCATTTTTATACCTTCGAAATCGAAATCTAACTATTCAGTACTTCGTATGATTCAGGTTGCGTATCAAAGAGTTCGATCTGGCACGTAATAAATGTCGGATTCCAGCTGCTCTTTGCATTCTACAAACGCTTCCAAGCTTATTCAAGATTATTCATTACATTTTCGGATGGACTCAAGCTGTATTTTTTGACTGCTTGGACATAACTGGAAAACTGAGGCTTGCGTTGTGGCTACGGGATACCTTAGTGGAGAATATGATAAACGTTTTAACTAGGGCCTGCAAAAACACAGAATATATATGTTTACTTTTTTTGACTGACACGTAAATAGGAAGTTGATAATTAACTCTATCTAGCAAATTTTCGCTCGTCTCGCTAGCAACTTTTGCAAAACTCGTAGAGTTTTACAACGACATTTAGAACTTTAAGTAAAAATACACACATTTAACATGATAAGCAAACCCAAAAGTTTTTCACTTTACATCCCACGCCCCTTGGGGCCAACGTTGAAATGTGTACCAATTACTGTACAATGTTTTGCCCCAAATATCCATCAAAATTTAAATTAATTTTATATTGGATTTAGAAATTACTTGGTATTTGTCGTCTTTGAACAGAAATATCGACAGTGTCGGCTTCTGCAATACTTTGCTTTTAAATGACACTTTTTCAAGGTGCGATTTGATTTATAATGCACGGCATTTGAAAGGATAATGGACAAAAATAGAATTAGACTAATGTTATTTGTTGCCCAAAAGATGGCTATAACTATCATTCAGGGGTGGCTACTCGTTTCGACTTTACAAAATGTGAAGGCCACTTTACATAGGCCCATGATTCCGCGATATGACCTTTGACTTGTTTACGATGGCCTGATTTGATGGAGAGGAAGTAAAATGAATTGAAATACCGCAAACCGTTTCCGAAGAGAGATAGTGCAACCGTGCTGAAAAAATGCAGAGTGCCACATGAGCAAATGCAAACTCGCATATGCAGTCGTAAGTAAAAGGGTAAAACGCAATGGAGTCATTTTTTTTACCCATCCATCGATGTACTATAGCGTTTTTGATACTGAGAAACCAAATCTTTCAAGGGTACGACAGAAAGATCCCAGCAAGCGTCCTACCGAAAGTGTCTTGTAGAACACCACTAGTGTGGTAGAATGTGTTCAATAAAAGAATCACTAAAAGATATGGCATTATTCTAAGGGACTGCCTCTGTAACTGGAATAGTTTACACGAAGGTGTATATATATATATGCTGAAAACTAACAAAAGCACCTCGTTACTATTCTAGTTCCTTTGAATTCGTCGGTTGCCGCATGAGTCTGGTCAAATGATAATCCAAATCTAGGCTTTACGTCTACTGTGGTAAAGCTTCTCGATCACAGTTTTGCATTGTACTCTGGTACCGTTACACTCGTAAAGTTCTTGGCCAGGATCGCTGATGAACTGAGCCAGGTGACATGTTTGAGGACCTCATAGCGGACCACAGCCTTCACGCACGCCAAAATGCACGGCGTGTTTCTAGCCGTGAAGGCTGCCTATCGGCGCCAAGCTAGATGATTGTTCACGGCTTAATTGCTCTCTTTGTATGCTGTCTTTCGTGGAATATCTACTTCTTATCCCTGGCGGAGCCTATTCTATAGAAACGCTCTTTATGCAGACAATAAACAGTAAGGCGGTAACATGCCCATTGGAGCGATGGAGGATTGGGGTCGTTCTGTACGCCTGTTGAAGCCTCCGAGCGCTTGACTATTCGACTATAATTTACGTTGTAAGCTGTTGTCTAAGCTGCACTTTCGTCGAAAATAATCAAAAATGTATCGTCTTTTGTAGCCATTTTTTGCTGTTTAATTCGAAATCTCTGCCTTAGAACCGCTTACACAAAGATGCGAAATTTGATTCTTTGAAAGATGAACGAATTTACCTGTGAATCAAAAATATCATTACTAGTATAATTGAATAAACAAAACTATATGTTCGAAACAACTTACGATGATTTCTCAGGATTCCATAAAAGAAAATTCGTCGGAAATTTGATTAGCCTCCTCGTCAGACCATCGTCTGAAATTTTTCCTCCCACCAATACAAACACCTGTTTCAGAAAAAAGGAAACACAGGAAGTGCACTTATATAGACTTGTAGGGCTCAGACTCCAACGGTGAGGTCATTCTTATTATAAGCAATAATTTTTACTGCCGAAGAAAGATTGCTTAACCTTAGCGCCCCATCATGCGCCGGAAGCTACAAAAGAGGCCCAGAATAGGCCTTAGTGCAACCCTTGCTATTATAGAAAAAGGTGATTACCGTGGATAGTGTGGGACCAAAAGAGCTAAGTATTTTTAATATCTAAGGGGGTTACGGAAAAAGGTCTGTTGCTTTAATCGGGGTCTGTCTTACCTTATCAGCCCTTTTTAGAACCTTAGCAATTGCTCCCAGTAGCAATTTGTGTTTTCAAAAAGCCTTTTTTCTTCGGAAAAGTTTCTGAGCTTTTTCCCTATTATAGAGTTGATGCATTTAGCCAGCGTCCGTAGCTGACATGTAAATCCATACAAATTCTTGCCTATGGTTAGATTAAACTCACCTTTCTTCCATGGTAGTGGGAAACGGCCTGAATGGAAGATCTGCATGGCAGTTACAGGGACCGTGTCAGAGTTCTTGAAGAATCCCTACAAATACGGCTGGGATCCTGTCCGAAACTGACATTTTAGCCGTATTGATTTGGTTTTTTTTACCTGCAATACCTCTTCCCTCGTAACAGGTGGGATCTCTTTCTCAATCTCCGGGTCTGTAGACCTAACTCTGTCGAAAGGCTGGTGAAATGGGAACAATGATCTTAGTACCCTAGTTTTCTCCTCCTCTGATAAAAGATACCTCTTTGTCCTGCCCGCTTTCCCTTTTACGAGATTATAAAAGCGAGCATATAGAAATCCTTATATTTCTTGGGGAAAGTTTACCCAACAGTTATTCTCGTCCTGTAGTCCCTAATAGCCTTCTTTACTTTTTTTTTTTACAATAACTCTTTTGGAGCTCATTTAAGCCGTGGCTGGCTCCGACTCGTTTGAAATTCCCTCTAGCTCGGGTACATGCGGCTCGACCCCGAACAGTTTCTTCATTCTACCCTTTGGCCTATCTAACAAAACCCCTTTACTTCACAGTTTCTATTAGGAGTCATTGTAGATTTTGCGACTCTACTTCGGGGTATTCCTGCATTCAGTGTTTGATAGCTTCCGTTCTCTCCTCGCTCTAGGCACACCAGACATCTCCGAGTATTATGATCGTCACTTGTTCGTCCGGAATTTATAAGGAACCCTACAACATTATGATCGCTTATTATGTTTCCTTTAAGCTACCTGACCACTTCGCATTTCATAAAATCCACAAAGACAAAAGCTAAATAGCTTTAAAAGGTCGGCACGTCGCTCGTGTTTAGCGTTGCTAGGTTTCTCGTGGCCATCGAATATAGCAACTGCCGAGCTCTCTCATTTGTCCTACAAGTCATCCGTGTCTCTGATGTCGCGTTAAAGTCTTTAGCAGCGACCACTAGAGCGTCTCTTTCTCTTGTCATCGGCTCCGTTACGCCGTCTAAATTCTCTTCCATAGTTCCATTAGGACTATAAAGTAGGTATAGTAAAAATAGAAGATAATGTCTGTGCTGCTTATTGTCGAAGAGAGCCTTACAAAGAGATGCATCACGCTGCCAATAAATACAAATAGATAGATTTAGATTCGACTTTTGAAGAAGTAAAATGATAATAGAATTTATTTACACCACATATACCCGCTCGTTACAAATATCCATTCTTTACCATGTGAAACAGTTCTAGAGTCAGCTTGTTCGGTATAAAATGGTCGGCAGAACCAAGATCGACCGGCGACTCCTAACTAGATCATGATATCCTTTTTCATCCAGTCTCTCACGATACCCATCGTTTGTAGTGAAGCAAGTCCTCATTTATGCGTGTCAATTTGCAGTGCGACGCTTGATAATTTTCACATAAGAAGGTGAAGATAAGACATGATTTATTATAGGAATGGCCAAACGTGAACTGGGATAATTATTGGTAAACCCAGATCACGGCTGGGACGATTCAAGTAAGCACTGATGAGATTTGCAAATATATGCCGAAATAAACGTAATTCAAATTTATCAAGGCGGGCGGACTTTACAATGAAGAGGCTGAACGGAACTGATGGATTTTTTCATGCAAGCACAAACATTTGAGAAGTAAGTACATGTATCACAGATTAGTTGAGATCTAATCGGATCAATAATATGATCGCATGGAGAGCAGCTGAATAGTTTGAGAAGAAAAACATTAACGCATCCTGTTTTTTTCCTCTACCTGGGACAAACTTTATCATTGCGCAAATAATATTTTCAAACTTACATCCTCATAATCACAATATTAGCCAAAGGCACAGATATCCTTTTAGTAAAATAAACGCTTATTTGACTTAACTTGAAAAAGGACAACGTCCTTGTCCCGCTCTATATAATGATGCTATTAAGTCAACATTTTTGGTTGAAATATCATAGAAAAATATCATGCAAGTAGAAGAAGAGTAAGCACAAAGTATGAAAATTTCCAGTGCATGGGGAAGACAGGATAGATGGATAGATCTATCCTCGTACTTTGTATGAAGAAATATAGCATATGCCAGATTTCAGTTGTATCATAGTGTTGCATAATCGTTGCAATATGTGATCGTATTACGACTTCTAGCGATAGTTACTCAAGGCGCTATTGCTTATGTACACTAACAACTGATACTAGTTAGTGGTGTTAGGGTTACGAGGCGTAACTTTCATGTTGGAAGTTCAGAATTATCTGTGCTGTGAAATAACGCCACTACGCGGTAACTATGTGTTGGACCAAGCGCTATGAGCTCAGCATCCTATAAAATTCCGCTCTACAACGAAAACAAACGTATCGCGGCTTTAAGTTCCTAGGTATAGTCTTTACGTTTAGGGTCTACTGAGATTTAATCACGGTTAAAGTAGACAACGGTCTTGAAACCCAATGATGAACAATTGATAATTTAGCTCGTTGGCTAGCCAGAAGTTGTTCTTCTAGTTCAAGCCTGATTGACAGTATTAAAGTAATCAAATATGTCAGATTTTATTTCAACAACTTCTATCAGAAGGTTAACACATAGTTGTGATTCAGTCGGAGTTGATTGGCCGTCGTACTGGCACCAAATCAATGATCGAAGTGGAAAAATGTCGGGCTCACTCTGGGTCCAGAGACATTGCACTACTTCCAAGTCGGGTAGCCAGCTGCGTTTGGGAACGGAAGTTCAAAGCTCAAAAACTGAACTTCAACAGCAGCCAAATGAATTTTGCCCAAACAAAACTACTATCACATCCCCGATGGCTGACTTCACGACTGAAGCAAAAGTCGATTCAGAGGGTCAACCTCAATCGGCCCTTATTGACTGGCCTTATACAGGCTGATTTGTGTAATGAAGTTTTTTTTTTGCAGTGCTGATTGGCATAATTTCCGCTCAATACGCTCGAATCTGTTTAAAGGGATTGATATGTGTGTTTCAGTTCGGACGCTACGTGGGATTACATTGACTTGACACAAACAGATTCCGGTTTACTTCAATCGGATTTAGGCTGGCTGCCATATTATGAGGTCAAAGTGTAAGATACGCCGTCCAATATCTGTCTGGGTGACCCATGTCCGATGGCTTACAATAACAAGCAGATGAGCATAATATGTCCGGGAACAGATAAAAATATCACTCAAGTTGAAATTTAGTTTCAGTCTCTTTCCAAATACTCGGTCTTACGCGTAACATTTACTTAGAATGTGTTGTTAAGTAGGATTGAATGTCCCTGTATTACAAAAAAGTTCTCAACATTAGAAGATTCTGTCTGCACCGCTAATGAATTGGGAAAGAATCTCCAAAAGCGGTCTGAAAACATGATCATCCCGGCCTAAGAGTAACTAAATATTCTCTACGCAACTACGTAGTAGAATAATTGGCCAACAAATGATTCTATTTACATCGATAATGTTGTATAACGTTTGAAATTTCATCATTGCTAACTGGGTCATTCTGTATAAGATAATCTCCCATAAGTAAACAAGGTCAAACACAGACTTTTTGTTGTTATTGGGATATATTGATTTCGGCATTTAATACTTTTTTTTTTACCGCATAAGCGAATAGGAATCCAAAGGATACACAAAACGTAACTTTTTTTTTCCATCAGCGTGTATATATAGAGCGGTAATGACGCGTGCCAATGCTCTCACATAACGCGCTTTTTTTTTTTTTTTTTATCATATCAACTTTCAAAGCTACCAAGTGACTAAAATTTTCGTATTTACTTTTATGTTGACGTTTCCTTTCGTGGCCGAAAGTACAATTAATTGAATACGATTCAATGCACTCTGTTCCAGAAGGGAAATTCATCATTTTTACATGAAATTCCCTTATAGTGGAGGACTGAGAAATCGTATAGTTTGAGTAGCACGGATCTGTGAACTGTATTTCAAGTCTCTATTCTTTTATTTTTATCCAACGCTATTTCTCTACCAGCAGTCACATAAACGAACGAATAAGCTTCATCTAAACATGAGATACCACCCCGTCTATTGGCAGCCAATATATATGTCTTTTTGAGTTGTCTTTACCTGCTTCTACGATACGACACAAATGTCCTACAATAGGCAAGGAGGCGCACGAGGCTCATTTGTATACACACTGCACCCTCTGCGGACATTTCGATCAGTCCGTCGCTCGTTAATCTGTTGCAAAGGTTGCAACGTAGATCGGGCCGGCTCATCGACGATCAGGAATGTTTGCTTTTGTAAACCAAGAAAAAGCGACAGAAATATAATCTAGAAATAAAGGTCATGAAGGACCGGTGGGTATTTTTGCAAATCACACGACACCGTTTCGCATATAATGGTTTCAGTCCATCAGAATGGTCTGTTGAAAGCTGTACCCCACTGATTATTGCCGGTTTGTTTTTTTCACGTTGGACACGTTATTTACGTCAGGCTCAAGGCAAACTTATTCACGATAACTATTAAATACTATCTCAGGCAAGAATAACAAAAAAGTTCTACTATTGACTTCTTATTTTACAGTATATTCAAGCTTGCCCTTACGAGGTTATGACATCATTTAGCTCAAAATGATATGGAGAATTTTTTTACTCTGCATTACAATTCAGTAAAAACTTCGCAAATGCAATCAAGATGTTATATAGTTAAATTACTGACTAGCTTGAATAAGTGGGGTTTATTCTAGGAATATTGCATTCAGTTTATATAATTGGCCTTGTGGCAGATAGCGTAACATAACATCGCGGTTTCACACTGATCTCAAGCGTGGAACATTTTACGTGACACTATGCCGTGTTCTGTCGACGTCTGGTCCTTTATCTTGTTCTACGTTTCCCTACAGACAAGGACACCGCCCGCTGAACTAAAATGATCTCTCTGTGAAATACTTCAATAGTTACACGTCTATCCTTTTAACGTACAACTACTCTTTAGACTCTATTGACCGATACAGTTTATAACGGTCGGATTTAATTAGCGAATCAGAGTTAATAATAAATAAATAAAGAATAAATTTACTCGAACTGATTTTCAGCAGGAAGTGTGGATCTACGTTTATACTTTGATATCATTTTCTCTGCATAGACAACGGTCCACCCGTCTTGCTCATGTACATAACGCGTTCGTTTTTGTTGAATGAAAGAAAACACTGCGGGAAAATGTTAAAATTTCCACGTACGTAACTCGACGCAAAGTCACCTGCTGATCCGGCGTCACTCCGTTCCGTA